AAATTACAGTGTACTTTTGCCTGAGTAGATAACACTTTTAGTATTAGCAAGCACATTTTACTAACACTTCTTCTCCAGGTAAGGGTTTTATGGTATATCATTTCACTTGCTATTCAGAAAAAATCTTTAGCATCACAATAGCTAAGTCACAGCACCCAGTAATTTATAACATAAGAGCAATAATTACTTGAGCTAAAACATTAAATTAGCGTGTGTAAGACTATATCCTAGACCGATGGTATCATCTTTGTCATTTGAACTAGCTGTTTGATTTGCACTGAGAGCACTTTGGATCCACACTGCTGTTTTCTGTGTTGTGTAAAGCACTTTAATAGACATTTAAAAAACGGTAATCCTCAGTTAGAAATGAATGAATTAGTTTGAATCAGTTTGAGATGTTTCTAGGCAGTATCCTGTAAACTCCAGTGAACATAGCTGTGCGTTCTGTCTTTATGTGTTTTACCTATCAAATGGAGTGTGTTGTAAGAATGTTAAGCCACAGTTTGCTTAAGCTATTGTGTTACTTTTCTGCTGCACAACATTTGAATTAATTTCTTAGTCTCTTTTACTGAGATGTCAGTAATTCTATGCAGGGCACATCAAATGAGCAAAGAAGTTTGGGATTACATCTTCTTCAAGACAGCTCCATTTCCTAAGACAGATATTTCAAAAGAGAAACTGGACAAGCTAAAAGAAGAGTTTGAATTTTGGTATCCTGTGGATCTCAGAGTTTCTGGCAAAGATCTTGTTCCAAATCACCTCTCATACTACCTCTATAATCATGTGGCTATGTGGTCAGAAAGGTAAGTTGGAAGTAATGCAGAGGTACTTACATACAAGTTCTTATTTGCTTATACATTAAAACTGAAATTTTTCTGTGCCAACCAGATGGTATACTTAGATGTAGTTTCTATATTTGAATCCCCTTGAGCCCTTATTTATGAGAGTTATATAAAACTTTATATAGAAAAATCTGTTTTCTCATGTATAGTAAACATGGTCATGGCAGATTTGATATCTGCTTATACAATGAGACCTAGCTCTATCCAGTGCTGTTTGGCTCTGCTACTTGTGGCTTTTAATTTAAATTACATTAAATGTAGCTGAACAGAGGGAGACAAGGTAAATTAATAAAATAGTAGGCCCAGGGCTCCACACTTTGCATTTCAGCAGTGATTCTTGTAGTTCAGCCCCTATATTGTAGTTCCTCTTCAAAGACAAGTTAAATTTCAAGACATTCTTCTAGATACTTTCTAAAATTTCCTCTTAAAGTATCCATCCCAGATGGCAAAATTAAATGTTTCCTCTTTTAAAAAGAAAAAAAATATATAATTACTTTAGTATCAAATGCTTTATATTTTGTCTTCAAACAGAGAGAAGTGGCCAGTAGCTGTGAGAGCAAATGGACATCTCCTTCTCAATTCTGAAAAGGTACGGTGAGTTTTCACGTATGAGGTGGCTTTTATGGTTGTCACAATAACTGCTTTCCAGACTGATTGGAAATTTATTTTAAGAGGAAATTAAGAGGAAATTTCCAGTTTCTTCATCAGTGCCCTCCTTTTTTCCTGTTCACTAGTGTTGAAGATCTGCCTTTTCTCCATTTCTGTCTTAGCATTTTTCTTCTCTTAGCTCTTGCATAACTTCATCTGTTAAGTGAAGATTTTGATGGACTTTTCTTTTAGGGTTATTTATCTTGTGGAATTGTTTGCTTGGACTCATTTTTGGCTTTTAAGTTGTACACTAGAGTAGATATAATGAGAAGCGAAAGCTTATGTGGTTAATATGTTCATGCATATAAGCTGTGAAATTGAATGTAAAAATTCCTGAAGTTAGAAACTGGATCTTGGAAACTGTCTAATGTGGAAACAAAACCAAGCAGAAGCCCTTTTTGAAATCTGTGGGAAGTGCTAAAAATGCTACTTCTGAAACAGTGTTTAGTTTTCAGAAGTTTACTTCAGGTAATTTCTGGAGTGATATTTTGTGTGACAGATTGTGGGACAGTTGTCCTACTTTTCAAAGCCAAATTTGGGGTAAAATCCCAGAAAATAGCTATCATTTCCGTGCATTTGCAGTGTACTTGGTAACATACGCTCAGTAACAACTTGTCAAAGTTGCAAGACAAGTTCAGGATTCAGGGGTTGAATGAATACTTACAAAATTTAGTGAGTTTCTGCTGTGAGACCTGGTTCAGGTTTTGTCAATTTATTGCTTTTGCTGTGTTTTCTGGGATGGTGCCTTCTCAGTGGTTTGCCCAAATGCTTGCTGCGCCTGTCTTTGCTTATGACTTTGTGTCAGCAAAATGGATGTTTAAGAAAACTCTAAGACTCCCATTTCTTTCAGATGTCTAAATCTACAGGCAACTTTCTTACCCTAACTCAAGCTGTTGACAAGTTTTCTGCAGATGGTAAGTGTGTTCTGACCTGCCTCAGCTTTTAATGATGCCAAAGTAACTAAAATTCATGCTTTGCTCTCAAATGAACGGTGGACTTACTAGGATATCTTACCACAACAAATCAGCCAGTTACCAGCTGTTTCTGTTTAAAGAACCGATGAACTCTATTTAGAAAACTGGGTTTATGTTAACAGAACACTGATTTAAACCATGAACTCTCCCTGATGTTGAGATCTCTAAGTTGTCTGTTTTGCTCTTCAAACATCTACTTTAGAGATCAAAACATTATAAGACAAATAGTGATGTAGAACTTTGCTGCTCCTGATACACACCCTGGGGTGGAAGGAGGCAGGCCTTTTTCAGAAGTTGCCTTTTTCATCCTTCTTTTTGGGAGGGATTTGTGTTTATTTTTGGGGAGGAGGCTTGGAGGACTGGAGAGAGGGACAGTGATCATGCTAATCTCTTG